TTTTTTATTGAAATTAAATTTATATAATATTTATTCTTTATTAATATAGCTTCAAATTATATTTTTTTTTTACTTTGGTTCTGTTATCAAAGAGGTCCTTTTTTAATTATTTTGATGAATACAAATATTAAAAATGGAATTACAATAGAATCAAAACGATCACCAAAAAGTATTTTCGTAAATTTGTAAAATCTGTTATTTAAAGTTGACATTTCTCTCTTTAGAAATCAAGTACTATAACTTAATTAATTAAATTTGTCCCTTATTCAAGAATTATTTATGTATTGTTCAGTGCATTAATTAGTACAATAATTTTTTTTCAAAAAATTAAAAATAAATCAACTTCAATTATCCAATAATCTGGGAACTATTTAGAATTTAGGGAATAAAATGATTGTGTAATTTAATTTTTAATTTTATTGTTATATTCCTCTTTCATTATAGGATGGAACATAAAATGGAACGTGAATTTATTTTATGGGAAATTTCTTCCAGTATATAAGGAACTCGTTCTTCAGTCTCACCGACGCACTTCATTTCGCATTCCCTGCAAATATATGTTAATATTTTACAGCTTCGAACGCGCGCAGTATAAAAAAGTCTTTTGATGCGAATTTTATGTCTCCGTCGCTCTCTCTCTCTTTCTGCATTTGCCTCCGAATCCGGCGTTTTTACCCGGGTGGCCGATTGTTATTCATGACGCACCCTCGTCCGAGCAGTAAAACACAAATTTTCCCCGTTGCATCCGCGCGAGTTCCATCTATCATAAATTGCAGTGTGCAGCGAGAGGCTGCAACTTTCATCCCTTGCTGCTGTTTTTCGCCTTCCTCAAATCCCGAAGGGCGCATTAAACTTGTTAAAATAAATCATGGCGTGCGGATTTACGACCGCCACATCACGCATTAATTGGAAAATAGTACACGTAGCAAAATCTGAGAAAAAAAGCTATATTGTGCTGTAAATTTAAATTATTGTTAAATTATATACAATAAAATATTAGTGTTTACATAAAACTTTCAATATTATAAGCATTTTTTCTTATTAATTTTATTTTAAGAAATTTATAAATTTTTTAATTAATTTATGTTTTTATAATTATTTGTAACAGAAAATAGAATTATTGTTACAAAACAAATTTTTAATTTAAACAAGGTGAATTATTATAGTTATATTATGAAAAAACCTCAAAATTAAATCATTTAAAAATTAAAAATATTATTTTACAATAATTCCTGCACATGGAACGTATTTTTCAAGTTGAAAATGACCAATTATCATTTTATATAACTCAAAATAAATTAATAATTGAAAAATTGCACCTTTACAATTTACAAAACGTATGCAAAACATTTTTTGAATTTAACCTTATCCATAAAATTTATTCAAAAAAAAATTCCAGTGTTGTTTAATCTGTCAGTCTGTTCATAATGAACGGGTCAAATCCATGAAACAACAACTGAAATTTAAGCATCTGCGTCCTCGTGCTCCTTGCAGTCACTGGCTTAACGTGACAAAGGGTATCGGCTTAAAGGGTTGGCAGGCGGAAAAAATCTCGAGGAGCTGCCGGTGCTCGCCAATGTTATTGCCCATTACCGGCGAGCGTAAAATATAATTCAGCACGGAAATTTTTCCGCCGACTAAGCCATAATTAGAGTTTTGCCCGACGCGCGACGGTGCTAAGCTCATTTACGTAGTGCGTATAATAATAATAATAATGAAAGGCTGCCTGTCCATTACGAGGTTTTAGTCCCTTCTTTTACGAGCCGGTATATCGAGCAGACGATATTGGCAAGGGAGCATCAGGTGCGCGAAAACTAAAATAAACTCTCATTTGACGAGCGCGCTAATTATCGCAAAAAGAAACTATTTCTCGAAAAGATGAAATTTTTTAGCCGCAAATTGCAAAGTTTGCCAAGGTTCTGGAGAGGTAAACGAATTTTTAAATCAATCTCAATTTCCTGCACGAGCGTTTCATCATTTCCTCTCAGCTGCTCCTTTTTTTCCTTCCACTCGGCCAAAAGAGAACTCTGCTTTTCTTTACATTCCCTCTGTTCTTTTGTTTATTCTCTTTTCCCATCTTAAACATTATTAAAAAGCTAGGAGACGTTTCGCATTCCTTCAAGGAGAATTCCGTCAGAAATTATAGCTGGGCACTGACTTTTCATCTCTCTCGGCTGCACAATGAGAAATAATTTCATACGCGCGGCCCTTTCCTTTCTTTTCTTTCTCCTTTCGCGCGCCCGTTTTTTTTTATATAAATTCCCTTTGAGCTGTGAAAGGAAGGACTTCTTTAACACCTCGGATGTTCAACACCGACGACGGGAAAGGGAATTCTAAAAAGCATTACATTTTTCAAAAGAGCACAGGGAAAAAAGGAAAAAGATGATAAAAAAAATCTGGCGCAAGTACGCAAGGAGAAGTAAATCCGGCGGTGTAATTGCAGCACATCCAAGCATAATAACTTTTAATAATTCTCCTAAGAGCAGCTGAAACTTGGCGGAACACATATTTTTGTCAAGAGCATGCGAAATGCGTGCCACAAACTTTTTATGTCGCATTAAAAATAGACAAATGAGAATGGATGGAGGTATTATACGCCGTCCTGCAAGCCCAGCAATATCGCCAGATAAGGGTTTAATATAAAAAGTTACTCCGAACAACAAACGACAGACTTAAATGTAATTTATTATGAATATTTTCGTCCTTCTTTGTTATTTCATTTTTACGCTTCCGTCAACTTGGTGGAAAACTTGAGCTAATTTATTTAAAAGTGTGGCATTTACAATTTTTTAATTTTAATTTTTTGTGCCGCCAAGGGTTGCGAAATTCAATTTACTCGGTCCGCTGAAAATTAGGTTAGCGCGCCACTTGCCGCACAAAGGCGACCATAATTAAAAAATAATTTCCACCAGTGTGCGAAAAGGAAGGAAGGGAGGGAGGGTTAATGGTCAGTGAAATTGTTTACGAGGGCGAGCCGGAAAAAGAGGGGCCGCGCGCAAAGTGTCGTAAGATACAATTATGATTTTCGCGAGCTGCAACTTTTCTCGCTTCTCTCTGAAATTACACGATGGATGAAATGGGCTCCGTAAAGATAACACGACATTTGATGCAGACAACGAGAGCTGCTTGGCTTTGCAGCGAGAAAAAGCACGTTTGCCTCGCTCGCAGTGGAGAAGAAACAGCCAGAGAAAAGTTTCATTTTTTTCCATTCCTCGAGCGACCCACTCCGACAAGAAACACGTAACCCAATAGAGAGAAAATCCGACGCTCTCGGACGGAAAAAGAAAATGCTTCCTAGATTTTGGCGCACAGTCCGAGTTTTTTTTTAGCTTTTTTTCTCTATCTTGTGCGAGAAGTAGTTTGCCCAAGAGAACAAGCATGAAGCAATTTGAATTTGGTACTGCGCCATCGGGCAAGAGAGCGATTAATTAAACTAGTAGAAAGTTTGCTAATTAATTTACAAGGAAAGAGTATTAGGGGGGGGGGGGAAGGAAAAGTACTAATTGTAAGTATTTAATGGATAAATTTTTATTAATAGCTTCTTTTACCTGAAAAGGCAAATTTGTAGTTTCATAACTCACGAGTCTATCATGTATTATTCTAATTTGTTTCATCAATTTAAATTTTACTAAAAATTAATAATAATAATAAAAATTTCCACAAGAAAAGGAGAAAGGAGCAAGAATAGAGTCAAATTTTTTTATTTGTATACATTTGTTGCTTTTGTGATTTTTTAATAAATATTTTTGATTAAATTTTTATTGAATAATTGTTTTATATTCAAATTATCGTCTAAGTTTTTCAAATATAATTTAAATTATATAAAACTAAATAAAATTTTATCCAACACATATATAAATTTAAATAGAATTATTATGTAAATAAATAATAAAATAAAATATTTATTTAAAATTTTAAAATAAAAATCATTGCAATTTTTAAACAAAGGCAATATAAAAAAAAATAATTTGACATTTACTTTTGTTTGCTTCTACGGCAATTGTAAATAAAACTATTTTATGTGGAATTTTATCAGCTCATATTCGAAAAAAATTAATGCATTTTTACCGGTATACTATTTTTTTATGAAAAAAATTACATAATTTTTGGCAGTCTGTGGACTTCAAGATTTCATTCCGTTATTTACTTACATATTTGTATATTTAGCACCTATTTTCTCATCATTTTTCTCCTTTGGCGTCTGCTTTTCAAATGCGTGATAAAAAGGCAGGGTTTGCCGACTGCTGATAAAAGTGCCACTCGCTCGCTTTTCATAACTTCCGCCATCCACCGAGTTTTTCCTTGGCTGCATTGTCGGCTATAAAAGCAAGCGTGCCTTCTCTAATACACGCGACGACGCACACATATAGAGAGAAAAATTCATCTCTGATGGCGCCTCTAACTCACACAGCCAAAGCATTTTCACGTGCAAGATTGAACACACACAGCTGGTGACAGCAAGTGGTTTCCTCGGTGGCAATTTTCCGCCACCGCACACTATATTAATAACATACAGCCAGCGATATATGGCAAAGATACACACATATTGCACTCGGAGAAGAGGCGCCTCTCCTGCACCTCTACTCGTACACACACGTGTGCCAGAATTGAAAAGCAAATTAATTACGTGACTTATCACGTCACAAATCTCACTCTCAACAGAGAGCGTGTGTGCCGCGCTCGCTCTCGTGAATTATTTGAGAGGCTGTCGTCGCGTGCCCGTCTTTTGCAGAGCTAAACAAAAAATTTCTTTTTTTCATTGCTTCAAGTTTTTTTTCCTTGCAGACTGATTCCAAGCAATTAAAACGTTAATTTTTAATTTCTAAGCAGGCTAGCAGATCAAAATTAGTGTCATTTTAAGTTATTTTATATGTTTTATTATAATAGGCATAAATGTATTAAACCAAATTTACTTTTTTCTGTATGAAAACTTTTATATAAAGAAGCAAATTAGAATTAAAATGAATGGTATCAAAATAAAGAAAAATATTTCTTGATAATATTTCATTTTATTTGGATTATAATCTACTCAAATAATCAACGTTAATAAATTTTGTGGTATAAATTTAAACACATTTAAAAATATCTCCCGCTCTTCATAGATCACAAATATATGCTTTTAGGCATAATACATTGAATTGAGCATATTATTTACAAATTAAATTGTATTAATTTCAAGGAGGGTATTTTCCCCTTTATTTACAGAGTATATACAAAATACTATTATGACTATATGAGTTTTTTACAAGCCATACTTGGCACTTAAATTAGTTCGGACGAGATTATTCTTCTGCAGTACTTGGGGCTCGAGTTTGCTGTTGACCCTTTTCGGTGGTGGCGGCGGCTGCTTTTTCTTCACGTGCGGCAGCAGAACATTCACTTCGCGCCTTTTCTCGCCGAAGTTGACAGAGTCTTGTGGTCTCGCTTTATTGTAAAAAAAGGAATCAGTACCCACACTCTCAGCGCCAGATTCGCTTCCAGCCTCGCAGAGAGACTCGCCCTCGTCCTCGCTGCTCTGGTCCCGCATCTCGTCAGCTACCCTTTTCAGAGAGTTGTTGCTGTCGGAACTGAGGTAGCCAGAGTCTCCAGGTCTGTTCGGCATTTTGATGCTCGTCTCCTGCTCCCACTTGGTCTTTTTCCACTTGGAAAAAGCGTTGTTGATGGAGCCCTCCACGCGTTTGCCCAAGTTGCCCTCCTTGGTTTCGTTGTGATCATCCTCTTCGCTGTCCGCAGAAGCCCTGTGGAGGGCAGAGTGGCTCGTAATCAGGTTCGGGAGTTGTGGCGGCATTTGACGCGGCGGCTTCTTCGTCTGAGGTGGACTTCTGCAGCCCCGCAAGTTTTTTGGCGGCAAACTCGGGGGCAGGACTGGCTTGGTTGGTTCACGTGGCGGAAGAGGAGGATTGCTGGTGTGGTTGTGTTTCTGTTTTGGAGGTAGAGAAGGAGGAATGCTGCCGATGGAGGGTGGCACCGGCGGCGGAGGCGTGGGAGGACATGCAGATCCGTCTGCCGTCCGCTGCCTCTTGGGTTTCGGCTTCGGCCTGGGCAAAACTTCAGGCGTGGCACTCCACATCATTTGCCTGATGTCGTCAATGGACGCTTGTCCCATGCCGTTGGCTCGGATCCGCATTTCATTTGGCGCAATTAGAGATCTGGCAGCTCTGCCTTTGCCCAAATCACCAGGTGGCCCTGCGAGAATATTTTCAAACTGCATCATCATCTGCTGCTGGCGTTTTGCCTCAAAGATTTCTCTCAGGCTTCCGAAACCTGTATTTTGGGAATTTCCTAGGTTAGGGAGAATTGCGATGTTGTTGCTCCTCAAGTCAGATATACTGCTAGGGCCTCTTCTCTTCTTTGCCTCGCCATAGGCCCAAACGTCAACTGATGAACCCCAAGAATGCTGCTCGTGCATGGCATCAGCGAAGAAACTTCCAGAGCTTTTCAACTGAATTTTCATCGGTCTTTCCAAAGAGTCGGCACATAAGTTCTCATTTTCATGGAGGCTGTGCTTAGAGTTCTTTCTATTCCGGTCCAGAGTGTCTGGTTCAAATTGATCCTCCTCTCGCCTCTCTACATATTCATGTGCTGGCGCCTCAGGCAATTTGATTGTCAAACTACCGGGGTAGTTCTCTGCTTCGGCATTGTTCTCCAACTGTTCAGAAACAGAGGAAGTTGGAGATGAGGTGTCCGACGGGGTACCAATTGAATTCTTTGGTGGCCTTTGTTTGATTGTGTGTCGGTTGATTGTGGAGTTTGATGAGGAAGACTGGTTGCTGCTGCAACTGTAGTCGTCATTGACGTAAACCTCACTAACCAAATTGTAGCCGGATGTTTTGGCTAACAACTCGGGCAGGCAGTACATCATTAGCGGCGGCCTCTTGTTAGGAGTTTCCGTCGTAGGCTGACTAACTGCGATCAATTCATAAGGATTTTCCTCTGCTTCATTCTGTGTGCTTTCCAGAGACTTTTCTCCACTGGTTGTGGTCTCACTTGAAGGCACGTCCTCACCAAGCAAACCTCTTTCACGAACTAGTTCTTTTATGACCGCGTCCATCAGTCTTTTGGGCTGGGGCGGCTTCGTGTTGACCCTGGCGGGCTTCTTCGGTGCCTCAATGGACGGTTCCTTCACCATTGGAGGGAGTTCAGGTTCTTTTTCCACGGACTCGTTTTCAACTTGGTCTTCGACAGGCTCTCCAGAGTCCAAATCCTCCAACCACCTCCTGATTGTTTGCTGTTTACTACCGCAGACATCCAGACTTGGAGGCAAACAAGCGGACGTTCCTTCACCGGCGGGAGTTGCATCGACTCGCCAATTTTCTTGTTTGGTGTACCCGTTGACGCTCTGACTGGTTCTGCTAGAAACAATTGAGTTTCCTTCCTCAGGAATACCCATGAGACTCGGGTTATATTTCTTGGCCGCGATTTTTATTTTTGACATGGCCACGACTTCTCTGAGCTTTTGCAAAAATTCAACGGCAGCTGGTGGTGGTGACTGCAGCATTTCCGGATCAAAGTAGGCAGGATTGAAGTACAATTTCTTCCTGCCACCAAGGAGATGACCTGAGTGGGACTGGGAGCCATTGCAGGCGCCATTACAGCCGGATTCTGATTCAGGCAGGCCCATTCCAGATGAGTTAAATGTATGACGGCCTCCTGTTAACAAAATGAGGAAATTTTTAATTAAAAAATCTTAGATTTGTGCATGATAAGCTTAGATTTGACCTATTTTTTTAAGGTTCAATTCTAATTTATTGAATGTATTAAATGTAATTAGGTTTTTTTTAAATACTAACCTAAAAAAGAATAGTCTCGTCCATCTCTGCCATTCGCCTCATCCAAAGTCTCGACGATCGAAACACTTTCACCAGGATGCCTCTCTAGACTGCCACTCTCTGTTGGTGGCTGAAGAGTAAGCGTGTAAATCCCAGTAGTCTGCAGGTTCGGCGAGTGCTGGTTTTCATCACCCGAAGAACTGGACCCTGGCTCGTTTGAGCTGCTCGATTCTGGGTGGATTTGCACCTTTATTTCAGAGATCTTATTCTGAAAATAATTAATTTTATATTAAATTCTTTAAAAACTCAAATGAAATTAAATATGAAAATGAAGAAATTTTATTTCATCAAAATTCAAATCCCTCAAAAGATCAAGAAATAATAAAAAATTTTAACTGTACGAAACTTTTAAATTTAATTATTTGCTGTGTAAAACTTATAGTACATTTGAATATATGTGACATTTTTATCTCACTAGAGCATTATTAATTTGACAATTTTACCATCAAAGGAGAGGAATTGTCAACGTTGGGGCGCCCGCCACTGTGTTGAGACCGAGGAGAACTTTGCGCTACTTCCTCGTCAGCCGACGATTCCTCATCGCGCTCCATACTTTCAGGCAGGTCGCCCCGCGGCAGACGGATGCTCCTTGCCGCCTTGTGGAACAAACTGGGCAGCTTGGTGAAATTTTCGCTGCCGATGCCGGCGGAAGCCATCAGGAGGGGGTTGTTCTTAACGACACCCTCGCTCATCAAGTTCATTTCGGTGCGGTGGCCGTAGCCGCCGTTGCCGCGACCTCGCTCCGAGTCGCTGCTGCAACAGAATATAAAATATCAAATTGAGCATGAAAGCTCGCCTTTCAAACGCGCTTTTAATAGGCAGCCTCTAATTGCTAATTACGCTGATGAAGCTATTTATGCGCAAAAATGATATCCCGACTGACGACGAGAGAGCGAAAGAAAGGTGTCTGCACTGCATGAATTATTTATTCATGCACTGCAGGTGCACAGACGCTAATGATGCTGACTGCTATTATTTTATGCATCATCGCACCGGAGATTGATGCAGATTTGATACTTTTCAAGCGCGTCGTATACACACAGTATTACCCGTATCGATAATTGGAAAATTATCATCCATGCCATCTAACGCAAACTGTTTGTGCAATTCTGTTTTTTATTTGACAATTCAGATAAGGCCACACGGTGTGATTTAATAGGGCAATTTATACCCACGTACCGTTAATACACTTACAAATTACATTTTTCTGAGTTATGTGTGCTTACGATAAATAATAATTAATTAATTGAGAAAAATAGAAACAAATGATAATTTCTAGCAGACTATTTTAAATTATCATCAAAAAAATTTACAAAAAGCCAATATTGCCTCATTTAATAATCATATAGAATTAATTATAGATTTAATAAATAATATCTCACTTTATAAAAATTATTTTTTTTATGTATTTTTGCAATAAAATAAACAATTTTATTTATATAATTAAATTATAATATTTAATTATTTAAAATTATTTAAATTGGTAAATTTTTCATTTTAATAAATAAATATATATAACAACAGTTGCGCATTAGTTTCCAAAAACTTCAATATAAATATCAATCTTGTCGTAATATGGAATATGTGAAATGTGATTGATTTTTTAATTAACCCAATTTAATGGAAGGTTTGGATGGATCAATTACATATCTTCCTTGTAATTGTTTTGGAGTTAGTCAGCAATGACAACAATCAAATAAATGATGAGATCCTCAATTACTCTAAAGGCAGATAATTCAAACGGTTTTTCATTCTGCACAACGCAAATCGGTCGGAAAAGTGACAATTGGCGTCGGCGTGGTTTTTTACTTTTGAAAGAACGCTCTGATAATCGAGTGGAACAAGAGCTCGCGGTTTCCACGCCGAGACGAAGAATAAACAAAATTTAATTCGCACGGGACTTACTCGTCTCCGGACTCGTTCCTCGACCGCTTCTTCTTTCTCCGGACGCGCCTGACGTGGATGTAGACAATGACCGAAGTGGCGTACACTAAGCACAGCAGCATAATGCACAGACCGACTGCGAGGTATTCAAGGGTGCTCAGGCCACTGGTCCTATTCTCGTGGTTCATCAGACCGTGCAGGAGGCCGCCGGTGCCGGCCAGCGAGTAGTCTGACGTGAACATCACCTCTCGCGCGCCTGAATTACAGAGAAAAAAATATTTGTTGAGAAACATAATTGCCGTTCAAAAGCCACAAGCCCGAAGGCGACGGTTCTTTTTTATTTCAAATCCGGATAATTAATGAACAGCATAAAAAAATATAGAAGCTTACCCTGCGATCCAGCCACTCTGAAAGCGATGCACGGAGTTGAAAAGGTGTGCGTTATTACGCCCAGGCCGTCGTCGGTCGGTGACGAATGGTGCACGCCATTGGGGTCTTTGCACATCAGCCGCGCCAAGAGGATTCGTCCCTCCATGCCGAAACGCAGGTCCTGCTCGCCCAGCCACTGAAATTGAATTGAATAGATTTTTTATTCACATTATAAAAATCGAGTGGAATTTAAAAATTGATCAATAATGGAATAATAAAGTATATTTTTAAGAAAATTTTGAGCAATAAGTTTCATTTTGCATCGTTATATTTTTTATTAAATTATTTCTTATGGATTTATTTCTCATTGCTTGATAATTTGTATTTTTATCTTTCAAGTACAATTCCAATTTCGTTAACATAAATGACGTATAAATTTATTGCAGTAAATCATATATCAACTTTGAAGTTTTCTTATTATGGGCAGTGAAATATCAGTAAATATTATTGGCAACAAAAAATAAATTGTGATGACATAATTTTTAGTTGTTAAAGGAGCATTTCTAAGCCTTTGTTGGAAATTTCATTCAAGAATTTTCTGTGCGTTATTTTCTCAGTGTAAATTAACGCATATTTTATTTAGATCCTCTAGTTTAATTTGATTTCCACGTTGAGAGTAAAGAGTTATGAGCGTTACAGGCCTCAGATCTTAGTTCAGTGAAATATCTGTTAATATTTAAATATAAAATAAGTATTTGTGTAATTATTTTTTAATTTAGTTTCTGTATTTAATACAAAGATAATTTTTTAACATTTTTTTGGAAAAAAAATATATTTTAACTTTTAAAATTTTTTATTATACGTAAATATTTAATAAACAACAAATAAATCAGTTATAATAATAGACTTTTTAAATATATATTTAAATTTTATTTAAACATAAGTTTTTTGATGATATTTATCAAAACATAACTAAAATTATTCGTATTAATTTATTTTTCTTAATATTAAAATAATTTTACTGAAAGGCAGTGCTTAATAAATCAGAGTGACCACGCTTGAGCTCTTTTCTTAATTCGTTCTAGCTGTAAATCTGCGGCGCGAAATGATCATTCGCTCATTATGCGTCTTCGCGTCATTATTTTATTATGCACGCGCACACAATATCCGCTAGGCAAAAAAAAAAAATGGATTTTTTTTTCTATACATGACCATCTTTCTCTCATCTACGAAGCGCGTGTGCCGCCGCAGCTCGCACACACGTACTGCACACAATTAAATAACGCTTCAACTGACCGTCCCGACGTGCATCTGTTTTACTGTTAATTTATTTTACGCATGACGTAAGGATTGCAACTAATTGTAATCTTGATTTGAATGCCGCTCTGCAGCGGTTTTTGCCTTTTGGCAGGTGGTCAAAATTGAATCCGACAATCACGCTCTTCGTGCGACTTTTTTATTGTCATATTTCAATTCATTGCCAAGAGATAAAACAAATCCCGGTTGGTGGAAAAAATTTATTATTTTTACTGGAAATATGAAATGAAAATTGTCCCGTTTGCTTAGTTATTTATGTCGCATTTTCGTGGCTAATCGGACCACTTTAAATGCATTGGGCGAGAAAGCAGTTTTTTTCTATCTCACCTGCAGGAAGGTGTGTCGCTGGTCACGAAACAGTCGCAGGGGAGGCTCCGTGTCCGAGGTATTGCGCAGTTCGAGCCAGCCACTTCTGGTCAGGAATTGGGCACTGGAGACCACGCAGATTGGATCCTCGCCCACGTCGGCTGCAAATTAATAAAAAATAAAATCGATTTTGTATTTCATTGGAAAGCGGTCTCTTTGATGGAAGAGGCAAAAAATAGAAGCTCAGCCGAACTGACTTTTATGGGACCAAATTCTTCTAGGACCATGATTAACCAGTCATAAATTTCTGTGAAATATTATCAAGAATCAAATTTTTTAGAGGCGTTTCATTTTTTCCAATATCAGATAATATGCAATCATATATCATTACCAAGTATTATTTTTTCGTAACAATTAATATTCATCAATTTTATCGTAAACTGTAATACCTTTTTTTTAAACTGAAAAAAAAAATAGAAAGGGCACGTGGCAGGCCGTTCCAGACAATAAAGTCCCTTTATTTAGGCATTAAATAGTTTATTGCGAATACCTCATCGGAGTACAATTCTTCAATATTTAAAATAATACAAATTAATATATTTTAATTAATTTAAAAATTTAAGACTTTGAATCAATATTTTTAACCATTCATAAATTCTAAGAACATTTTATAAAGTCACGTTTTGTAGAAATTGACCATTAAAAACATAATTAAAAAAATCTTGAAACAAAACTTCATTTCATACACTTCAAATTTTTTAAATTGTGCAGTTCCCCTCATTTGAATTGTTAAATCATTTATTTTCCTGTTATAACTCATTAAAAATCCCAAATTCGGTCTCCTTTCTGTGCTTTGCTTTACTAATTTAAAAATTTTACTCAAATAATTAATAAATTAAGTGCATTTCGCAATAAATCTTGGCATTAAATCTCCAAATCCATTAATTACAAGATAAGAACATTATCTCTTATAAATATCAGTATTATTTTACAGTTTTCATAATCCAGTTTTTATAATAGTCAGGCATCAAAATCATTAAACTGCTTTCTTATGAAATAAATCTCTAACATTTTGTCTATCGATCTTGAGGGATTTCACTAATGCATAAACCAAAAAAAGTCATTTGCATATTAAATCTACCAGCATCGCATCAAGTGCATTTATTTTGCTCTCGTCGGCCGGTCTGAAAGCAACTTCCGCGTCACTCAATTACATAAGGCAGTTAAAAGCAACGCGTGGATTCACACAAATTGCCTCCGCATGAAATAAATAAATCGCGGCTCGCACTGCGACATATCGGCGCGGACGAAAAATCGTTGCCGTAACTGTTTCCGTGTATAAATGTGTTTGTGCTTTTACATATATTTTCCCTCTACCGACCATTAGAATAATTTTGAACGCTATCAAAACGGGCAAGCGGCAGCAGAGACAACAAAACTAATTTTCATATATAGAGAGCGTGTTCGTCCGTCGTGAGAGTTTATTGCGCCTGCAATACACAATGTCGCGCTATTTGGGTAATTGTGCATGAGCGACGAGTAAACAAGTCTACTCGACACGGTCACTATCAGCCTCTATACAAGTACGACTCTCAAAGTGGTCCTAATAAATATTTGATATTATTATACATCTGTTTATACCCGCAGTGCAATAATTTTTGTTCCAGTGATATCATTTAATTTAAAATTATTTTCCTTTCGTTTGATACATAAGATTAATAGAGCTAACCAGTTTCCTCGTAATGAGCCAAAATAAAATAAAAATTATTTGCACAGGTGTGTCAGAAATACAATATTAATTTACTGTTTTCTTAAGTTTTTGTATAAATAAATGATTGAGAAAACAGATTCAATTTTTTAACCAAAAACTTTGGAATATCGTAAAAAAATTTCAGTAATAAACAAAAATAAATTTAGAGTAAATTAATACAAGTAAAAGTACTTTTTAAAAATTTCATCTTTGGCAAGCATTTTCCAATTTCAGTATTATATTTTATACCTGACAAGGGCTTATATGGCTTCCACGTTATAAAAAATTATTTAATTATAGTTATGTTTCTTTTCATATTTCACTATTTTATTTTTGAAAATCTTTTTCGAAAAATGGAAAATTTTTAAATAAGAAATATGTCTCAATTTGAAAAAATTAACAATTAAAGCATAATAAATAAAATAAATAAATTTTTATTTTATTTATAAAAAAATATATTAATGGTAAATTATGAATGAATTATGTATTTATTGAAAACCAACAGCTACATATTAAAATCAACATCACATCAAGTGTTCTTTTCTATTAGCGCTGATCTAGATAGATTTGAAACGATTAATCTACAAGGATCCATTTTGGCCCAGTTAAGCCGCACTTCTTGCTTGATTTTAATTCCCAAAACCTGCACTTGTCAAAATTCATGATATATCCCGTCGTCAGGAAACCTGCATGCCTTTCGAGTGAAAGAAGAGGATTCAAAAAATAAAATATGTTACTCGCTGATGTTTGTTATGGTGTTCTGTTTGGTGTGATTAATATTTCTCTGACACGGATTAGAAAAAGCGATTTGGCATAGAAAATTTTAACGGTCTCAGATCACATGTTGGAGAGAAATTTGGGCGTTCTCGCCCAGATCTGTGATGGCGATAAATGCAGCGGATCTCTGCAAGAGTGGAAAGTAATTTATCCACACTTCTGGAGAAGAAGATGTGAAAAATAACTCTTAATCATTATGTTTTTTTTAATACATAGAACAGTGGAAAGTCATTACTTAAAAAGAAAATGATGACTTTCGGGTCTCAAATTTTAGTTTAGAAGCAGAAAATAAGTATTTGTCTTAACCAAGTATTATTTATTTAATAATATAATTATAGATTATTGTATTCATAAAAGTAAAAGACTTTTTCATCGAATAATTTTCTGATTTCATGAAGTAATTGATAACTAATTGAAGTACCTATTATTTATAAAAATTGAAAAATAAAAAAACTCTAAAAAATACCGAGCTCTCAAATTTTTTAATAATTGAACATGAATCAAAATTATAAAAAATAATTTTAAAATAAAAAAGTTAAAAAAATTTATTCAAATGATTCAAACAAAATTATAAAATTTTAAAGAGTTTTTGGCTAAAATAATTTGTTAAGTAAACTAAAACTTATAAAAAACCTTTTTTGCTAGAATAAATTAATATAAAACCGGCGAATCGGAAAATGGTGAATAAACAAGTACCGTACGAGGGAAAGTGTGAATGGCCTTTGTGAGGCATCATCTGGCGTCTGAGAGTCATGCAGACGCGCTGCCCGTTTGTTATTGCACATTAGCAAAGGGGTTATGGAGGCACGCGTTGGCTCCGCAGAGCCGGTTCTGAATAATGCATCGCCGCACGTGAAATACTTCATGACATAGAGCGGTAGCAGGAAACAAGTTTCGTGGTCCATTGCACTTTCCTGCTCGTCTCTCTCGCTCGATCGCGGACGAGACCGGCCGGTTGGGTTTAATTCCCGGAGAATTATGTACAGAGACGGGTGTGTGTATTATTATTATTTGTAAGAGTTTAGAGGCTCTTGAAAATCAAGTGCATTCACTCTCGTCCGACGACGACCACTCGCACTTCCGCATTTTATGTAATAATCACGGTCGGGGCAACTTGCGCAGCCAGACCGACCGCTCTTTGATAAATAAATGCAAGTTTAGTTTCCTCAATAACTGTACCGCCACAAAAAGACGAAAGACGGCTTTCTGCTGATAAACTAAGTGCAAGAGACTCTGCGTAAATGAACCGTGTTGGGAATTTTAACCAACAATTACACGCGTCTTAAAAGCTTTGATTCGTTTCAGGCAAATTGGAAGAAATTTTAACCAGAGAGTTATCTTAAATTTAGTGACCGAATATAAAAATAAGTAAATGCAACTTAATTTTATTTGATAAATGGATAACATTGAGGTTTTATAACAATTAAAATAGTTTGCAAATATTTTTAAAATTATTGACATTTGCATTTTAATTTTATCTCTCAATAAAAGTTATTAAATAACTTGCAAAGTAGATTGAATAAGGGCGGTCCAAAAGCCCGGGCGTAAGTTTATTTACGAAATAAAAAAAAAAAAATTGGGATAAAATAGTTTTTAGAATATTTAATTTATATTATACATTAAAATTTATTGTAATTTTATTGAACTATGAAATAAATGGTTTGTAAAAATATGTAATTTATCAAAATCCAAACATTAAAAAACATATACTTGAGATTTGATGTTTTTAAATTGCCCATTCAATTATGTGTTCATATTTATATTATATATTAAGGAAAAAATTAAATAAACAGTTTACCCACCATTAAAAGCGATATCGGAGCTGGGATGGATAATCTGTCCTTTCATCGGCAGGAACACGAAAGGAATCCTCTGCTTCCTTTGCACATTTTGAAACGATGCGAGCGAACATTCTGAAACACAAGACAAAAACAAGCAGCTGAGAAAATTATATCCTTCAAAATTAATCATATTAAAAAAGGAGGGCCCGTCAAACAGCGCCAATCTAATTACCTAAACGCTAATTAAAGGATATAAGATGAATAAAAAATAAATCAGAGAACACCTTGGGATGAATTATTTATTAATTCCGTGATAAAAGCGTTTAACTTTTTACCACAGATTTAATGTGAAAAAATCAAACGCTTATTTCAGGCCGTTAGAGTTATAATATAATATCCAGTCTTTTTTCCGTCTCTCTCCCAAATTAATCTCATTAAACCCACTTAAAAAAGTAAATCAACGGCGTCCACTGTAAAATTGATCTGGTTTCGTGCACCGGACAAACTGAATCTTGATACGCAAACAGAGCGAGCAAGTCACGCGAGGAAGCGCCAATCAATCAGCGTGCAAGACAAGTTGATCGACTGCCGCTCTCATGAAAATTATATTATCAAGGATAAACTTGCCAAAAATCAAATAATAATCTGCAAACTCCATGAGAAAACTTACTTCCTTAAAGGCATTTAGTAGTAAAGTAAGGTTGGACGCACCTGTTTGTGCTATCAGCTCCCATTAAATAATTAATGCATCGCAGCCATAAAGATACCCGCGCGTTTCTAAGCACAAACATCCTCTCCCGGACAAAGTTAGCCGGCCTGATGCTGGAATACATTACGAAAGGCATATCGTGTGTGCATAAAGGAGCAGAGTGATTATAAACTGCGTGAGAGCGCCATTAAAGCGATTGATTGCCCGCTCGAAAATGGATCATCAAAATCTCTCGGAAGAAACTTTGATGCTTTATGTGTGTAGCCAGTAAACAAACACTTTGGCAATGCAGGTATTTCGAATGTATGAAAAATTAATGAACTAATTAGTACAAGATTACTGTACTTTTATTTAAAAATATAATTTTGGTGTGTCGCAATTCTAAATCCATCAATTTAATAACCTGCGTTGCCGCAAACTTCAATCTGTAAATGCTTGTAGATGAAAAATAACATTGATTGATCAACAGTGTTGTATTTATAATCATTTTAGTATCATCACAGACCAATGATTGAGAGCAGTCGATAGTGGTCGTAAAACTGAATTATGTGTCCTTTTTCCAATAACTACTGTTCTGAGAAGACGGATATAAAATTCAATATTTTTTGTTTTTAATTATAGAGCGTTTCGTAAGAATTATAACAAAGAAAATCTTTTCACGTTAATTGTATGGTAATTTTCAAAAACAAATAATTATAGAAACCATCTAAAATTTCATTGATGAGAAGAAAACGGACTCTTGAATTGATAATAAATATTTCTTATTTTATTAAAAAACAAAAATCATGAAATTAGGGTTGCAGATTGTGACTCATACAGCTTTTTTTTTTAACAATGACAAAGCCCGTTTTCTTCACTTCCATCATCTCATGTTTTCCTCAAGTAACAATTTCTTAAATAATATTTGAAGTTTTTATGTAAATATTAAATAATTAAATCTAAATTGAACTTATATATAAAGTTAGAAATCTTTTAACCTAATTTTTACTAGTTTTATTTTAATTGCAAGTAAATTTAAAATAATAAATACACAAATATGGGCAGCTCATTATAAGCTTTGCTTTATCTAAATGGTGCCCCCAAAAAGAAACAAGAACGCGAAATGTGCCCTCATTTAATTAAGACTCTGCAGAGTCAACATCTCGTGCAGTTCGCCGAAAGCACACAAAACGCTGCGAGCTGGCAAAAACGGGCGAAAGCAAACAGACACTACTTTTTCAGCTCACCGAATTCGGCTGAACAATCAAAAGAGCAAATCACGCCGTCCGTGAATAATTAGCGCCGCGAGAGGGAACTAAAGACTGAAAAAAAAGACATCAGGTCTATCCATCATCAAAGGCGGACAAGCGCAAATCGCGCCGTCTTAATTCCGGGGCGTGTATCGCTCAAATTCGAATTTTGACGAGCAAGTTTATCAAACCGGTCGATCGGTTAGGTTACAACAATAGCTGCTATTTTAATAAAGTAATAAAACGGACGGACAATGAGCCCAAAAGTGACTGACACTTCTCCTCTTTGCGTGATAGCCTCGGCGTTGCTATATGCAAACCATTTTTTTCGTCTATCGCTCTACGAAGGAGAAATTCGTGAGTTTATTGGCTTTCATCTGCATTTTATTATTCTGTGTTTGTTTAACGTGCCCAGAAGTCGGAGATTTTATAGATAAAAAGAGGAATTTGAATTTTAAATATAGAAATGGACATCGTTTATTAGATGTGTGAAACAAAAAACATCAAATTCCTGAATGCCGTGAGTTATTTCATAACACTGAAAGCATTTTTTTTTTTAGCTTTGCGGTCTTTTTTTTATCAATTATATCAAGCGAAATAAGAAAGGTCTTCTGAAGGGATTCTGGAGGAGTCAGGTTTTAGAAAGTTTGACAGTTAATTTAATTTGATTTGTCGCATCGTCGCGTGTGCCCAAAGAGGTTGATTGCGCACATAGTAATATTTGAAAGTGGAAGCTTTTAGCACTAATAATTATTAATGAGGGTGCCAAAAATATGTCAAGCCTATTCAGCAATTTAGGGAAATTAATAAAAATGTAAGAAAAAACTATTTAATTGAAGTAATGCACAACATTAAATTATTCCATAAAATTTTCTGTTTAAACAAATTATAAACTATTAATGAAGACACTAATCTTTTTAAACCCCCATGTAAAATGTAGTAAAAATAAATAAAAAACCAAATTTACCGAGCTATTGTTAGTTTTTTTTATAATTTAAAAAATATAATAAAATAATTACTTATAATAATAAATAAAATAATTGTTTTCAAAAATTGAATGTAAACATTGTATTTGGAACAATGTGTACAAATAAACAATAACAATAGTAATGTTGATAACTATTTCTGTATAAAAATCTCGACCTCTCAACACCTTTAATAAGTCATGAAATTTAATTTCTCCGAATATGTAGAAACACAAATTCCTATTGAATTCGGGATTTATTCAACTCCCTTAAGACCTTCAATTACAAGCCCCATTCTAAAGACTGTGAGCGGTATGCTAAAAAGCTTTTTGAATCAACTGATAATGATAATTTACGTGGTGCTGAGTGTGTTGTTACCAAACGTCGCGAATAAATTGCCATTTTGATTATTGATTTTGCCTGTGTTTGCCAAGTCGAAAGTCTCCGATGGCAAATTTTCTGTTAAATCATTGTATGCTAAACCTGTTTCCAAAAGGCTAAAGAACCTTGTTATCTAAAGCAACTATAGAGATGGAATGGGTGAGGCTAGGACCTTTTTCTCCAACAAGATACCTTGTCTCTCCCTAAATTTTCACTAGAATAAAAAAAATTATAAAGCCAATGCCGAAATTTATTACACACTTTGCCAATTAACTATTACGGCCATGAGCCAAAGTGCCCGTTAGATTTCTCCGACGAGCGTCAAATAATATCCAGCAGCGAAAAAGACAGGTGGATTTCACCAAAAGGGAGAGAGAGGAGAAGAAGCGTTGGAAAACTAGTTTTTTTGATAAACCCACTCGGCTATAGTAGTTTTGACATGATAGACAAAAAAAATTTAATGAGCTAGAGCAGAGATTCCAAGTGAACTCTCAGATGTGTCGCGCCAATTTTCGCGAATTCCGCCCGGAGACAAAAAACAAAACCTCATCTGGGCGGTGAGTAATTATAATTTTGGCTAGGATTGTAAAATGAAAATAATACATAATCGGCTCATAAATTCGAATTATAAAATTTTACAACTTAATATGTGTTTGTTCTTCACTTACCGTGGAAGTCGTCGACGCAGACATGCAGGTCCTCTCGGAAAACGGGACTTTCGGCCGGACACTTGCAGAAACAGGGTGGATTGTCCTTGTTCCTGGCCGTGGGCGCCAAAGAGGGCAACGCCCTGCTGTCGGCACACAGCGTGCTCGAACAGGCCACAGCGGCACCTGAAACACATCCAAAAGGGTTCGCTTTATTTGCATAAAAAACTAATAGAATACTGGATCAGGCGGTAGTTAATTCTAAGAGGGGAGATTAATCTGGCCAACTTGAAAATAGTTCATTGGTTTTGGATGCTTTTGTGTTTTTATGCCGGAATTTATATCAAAACTGGTCCATCGTTGATTGATATTAGCGCGCCGGGACGAGTTTTGCTACTGGGTAATTAAATTCAAATTTTTAATTTAATGATATTTCTTCATCTATAAAATTGATGCGCATAGAAAAGAAATTCCAGAATTTAGCACTAGCACAGGATTCAGGTTTCTTTGATGTTTTGCCGACCTTGATCTTTTAGAAATAATTCACCCAAATAAAATCTCCACCAATAGTAAGAAGAATGAAAATACATAATATTTTCCTCTTATTACGACTTGACTGCTTAAAAAATTTTGAACCTTAATTAAAAGTATAGTGTAAAGTTGCCCGTAATTTAATTTGAACCTAATAAATATCGATCCCAAAAAAAGTGGCTTTTTCGTAAATTAAATTACGATGGAATTTATTTTAAAATTATCATTTCATCAACCATAAAAACCACATTTATGTAACTCTTAATGTAACCAAAATGTTTACTGACCATTGAAATTCGATGTGAAAACACAATATCTTTCCTCATTTTGCCAATCATAAATAATGATTTAATTTCATTTTGGTCGTGGGAATCAATCAAAAATTATTCCAATGTGTGATCATAATTTATATACCACTCAACGGTTTATTTAATTTAGTAAATTACCACCAATATTACCATCAAGAATTACGAATTTCCGCCAAGTTTAGCCAACGAAAACTAATTCTGTTGCTTCAGAACGCAAATAAAAGGGAGATTAACGAGATCTTGTGGTAAAACTCATCAGCATTCTTGAAAGCAGCCTTTATGTGAATGGTTCATAAATTTGCATTCTCCGCATAATAGAGCAATTCTGCGGCTGTCGTAATACGCGGCGACCAACAACACACTTGCTATAAAATAGTTGCGAATGAAATGTACATTTTGCGTGCATAATCTGATCAAATTATCCAGTTCTATGAAATTGCATAAAAAAGAGCAAGTTAAAAATTTGCCAATAGTAATTACATTCTGTATATCATTTTAGATTATAGAGGAATTTTTTTTACTCTCACATAGGCGAAGATAATGATGGTTCATTAGAGAGACGTGGCGCCTGAGAGAGAGTCATTATTTATTGCTAAGTGAAAATTGGCGTGTATGTTTTGTTGTTTTGGCGAGGATGACGAAACAAACAGCATTTGATTTGAATCTTTGAAAGTGTGATTGTTTTTGATGAGGAAATCATTTGATCGGCAGACAATGGCGGAAAATTGCATAATTCCACACACACTTATTATTTTCGCACCATTGCAATTATAGAGTTGATTGCGAGTTAAAGATTGATGTGAAAATATAAAACATTAAGCAACGGTCAATTTAACTTGTGATTTTAATTCATGAATTTCATGAGTATTGGAAAACTTATTTAGCTGTGGTAAAAGTAATTATATGGCAACGAAAATTACCCAGTAAAATTTGTTACGGTAGTGAAAGGAATTCTGTGTTTTTTAAAAAAAAAAACTCGTTAAACACGTTGAGCAAAAAAACTATATATATTTTCAAAAATTAAAAAATGATAATAACACAAAAAGAATTCAGAAAAGAATTTAAAGGAAAGAAATATTATGAGAATTAGGAAAAATTTTATCGAATAAAAAATTCAAGTAATGAACACGCATCCTATAAACCAGTCGTGCATTTAAGTGGACATCTAGATTTGTATAAAGTTTATTTTTATTACAAAATGAACTAATGTTCTTTTCGTGTTATGATCTGCCAAATTGCTACCGGCCGTATAATTTCAGCAGAATTGCGCGGTACAAACAACAAAATAACTCAACTAGAACGCGTTTTATTTGCACTTGGACTGCCTCCAAAGAGGCTGCTCTAAATGCAAATCGCAAAACGCGATCCACCTATGGCGGCTAGTTTACTTAGAAAAAGAAGACTAGCCCGCAAATCGCTAATTGGACGCCCTGGGGCTGCGTGCAATCTCGACTTTCTCAATTTGCGAGAGGGAGATGCCAAATGGCACACGCACCAGTTCAAATAAAACGACGCCGCAAAAGGCACCTGTTTAACAAGCTTTAAAATCGGTTTAAATTATGTACCACTTTTTTGTAATGAAAATTAAATTTGAATAAATTTTTAGAGCTTCTAGAAGTTTTCTCACAGTAAACTAAATAAATAATTGCATAATAAACTGTAAAATTTTTAAATGAAAAACTTGTGGAATAAAATTTTTCTCAAAATTAACTCCTTGTTGTGCAATTATTACACAAAATGTGGAAATGTGGAAATAAATTTTGATTAAAATATCATTAGAGCAAGTGTGAAATTGTGCGATAATTATTAATTATAAAAAACTAAGTTTGCCCAAAATTGCAAGGAAAAATGAAAAAAAAAAATGATCTTTATTTTTACATTGTTGTACACTTTTTGGGTCTAATATCAAATTATGATTTGGAATACAAATCGTGCTACGTATTAACAATTGAAAAATCAGTTTAATCAAATAAAGTAGGTCTTCATTTTAGATCTAAGATTGCTCAAATGTATTTTGTAACATAATCACGGTCCGCGTCTCGCGAATAAAAGCGAGAGATCTTCTACGCAAATGATTAATTAGGTCTCACTCACCATCCTTTTTCAGGTAAAAGGTGTCTCCATCCGAGTGCCTGCTTACACCTGCAGCCTGGTAGACGGTCGAGCTGCCCACCGGGTTGCCGGCGAGCAAAAACGTCGCTGCGGCGATTAATGTCACGGACAGCGACATCGAGCGTCTTTATCGCAGCATCACCTGCAATCATAGAAAACCGGCGGTGTTAAAAAGGTCCTCTCCATCAAAAAATAGCGTGCGGTTTGCAAAAATCGTGGAAATTTCACTTGTCAACTTAAGTTGTCAAGCAACTTTTTATGCGTCAACCCGAGTGTGCATTACCGTGAGACTAGTTTTACAAATTACAGAATTTTTGCTAGCGAAATTTTTCCCTAGAATTCAGATGATTATCAACAACAAAATTTATTGGATGGATGTTCCAACAGACAAGATAGAAATAATCTTAGGGATGCTTTTTCATAAGAATTTAAGGGAATAGGTTATAGTTAAATTATTAATTCGCCTTACTTTAATTTAAAATTCAATTGATCCATAAATACGATTCAACAGGAATATTGACTGTGGTCTGTAGTGTCCAGTTAACGTTTGATTTAACAATAGAATGCGGTGATTAATTTGCATTCTTATTTTATAAATAAAATTTAAGTTTTTTTAGTGAGCAGTCAGCGTAAATTAATAAAAAAAAAAAAACTATATTTTTTTAACATAGAAAAATTTACAAAGAACAATTTTATTAATAAATAGTTTTTTTATTATAAATATAAAAATATAATTTAAAAATTAATAAAAACAAAAATAATATTTTGTGATAATATTTTAATTGATAGTTTATTTTTTAAATATTATACATAAAATAAACTTACATTTTGCGTAAATTTCCTAATAATATATCCCATATTGAACAAGAATCACTACATCACAGAACAGCAAAATAAAGACTGACGGCTCTTTGGTGTGAGAGCTAAAGTCCCCTCTCTCATGCATAAAACTTTATTTATTTTTCAATTGCAGGCGTTCAAATCACATCAACATGCCGCGCACTTCTCTATAACGATCCCCACATCCGAATGTAAAATATGAGCAAGTGGAAGCAACACGCGCATAATATGAGCGGAGATGATCGGGCCGTGAAAGTGTGTGATGCATGCGCTCCTAATAGAAAGTTAAACCCCTCATTAGCTGCGAGGAGCGCCACAATAAAAACTAGCAAAGAGAAGAAGAGACGTGCGGTGCGAAAGCTGAGATTCACACGCGTTCAATACCGATACAGCCAGACACATAATAAAATAAAACTGGCTGCTGGTTATCTCACGAGAGTTTACAAATCGAATTCACGAAGTTTGTGGGTGCCCCATTGTTCGGCAAAAGGTAAAAGCAAGAGTGAGGATTTTTTGCAGTTGCTTTCGATGAATGCCCTCTCTGATTGCGTATATTTTATTGCCACCCAGGATGTTATTAGTGAGAGAGCCGATCAGCGGAAAAATTGTTAACATGGATAATTGCAAATGGGATTTTTGCATGTTGGTGTTTTTAATTACGAGATGAGTGTTGGAGAGGAGGAAAAAGTTGGTGGACATCAATCGTACTTTCTTTATCTCTATCATATTTGCACTGTAATGGTAAAAATTTAATTGAAAATTTATACAATTTGAATCGTTCATAAGCGTTGAATTGATACCTATAAGTGAATATTTAGAAAACAATGGGAGATGATGAAATTTTAGAAATAAATATTGTTAACAATGTCTACCCTCATAAAACTATAATTGAAAAGGAAATAACGTTGCGCACATGAAAAGATTTTAAATTGGCAATAATGTAAAAAATGTAAGTTTTATTTAGTTGATAAGTTAAATAATTGTAGATTCTTAAAATAATATATAAATTTAATTCAAAATTATTGAGTAAAATAAAAATATCAAAATTTTTATTAAAATATTTGTAGCAATAATATTTTTATGACTATCTTTCCTTAAATTTGAGCTGTAATTAATTGTAAGTGTACATTTTTACATGAATTAATGCTAAATAAAAAATTTAAACCGAAGGTTAAAATGAAAATGGTATAAAAGAAGTACAACAGCAAAAATCGCAATAATTAAGAAAATCCTAAACCTTTCAAAATCTCTGTGGCTCAGAAATTTTTGACGACAACTGACAACGCATCATTAGTCCTAGTTGAATGCCGAAACTAACCAATTTTCTACACTGTTGAAATCGATAATTGTCCCGTTTCTCGTTGTGTCACAACTTTATTTTATCCAAAAGCAAACACCCAGCGGCAATGTGTTTTATTTTCGTGTGTCTTCCCTTGAGACTAACGACTACATTTTCCACGTGATAATAAAGGAGTTATGTTGTGTATATAATTTGATAACAAAGACCACGTGTGTCATTATGGCGGAGAAAAAAAATTAATGGTCACTTGTCAGAACTGCAGCGTGGCCCGAATTTCTCTCGAGTGTGAAATTGGTCCATTTTTAAGAAAATCTTATACGTCTCAATTAAAGCCGATGCCGTTCTGAGTTAAAAATATAATATGGAATGAAATTATGAAATTCGTAATATAAAATATTCTTCATCTGTCAGCAATTACTCGGATCATTCACCCAAACAGTTCTCGACGATGCAAATTATATAGCGAAGGGCAGCCAATTAAATGAATTTGTGCGTAAGAAAATAACGATCTCCTCTGCACGCCGTTAAATATAAATTCCTCTCTCGAGAGAGAGATGAGCAAAAAGTTGCAGGAATACGCGCGCAGGTCATAAAACTGCTACATTTAATTTTATTTATTTGCTAATGTGTAATTAATAAATCCGGCTTATGACAAAAAAGTGCGTTTCTACTCCAGGAAAAGCGGAACGAGCTAATTGCGACGGATATTTTTTATGATTCAATACGCGTGCAATTTCATACATGACTGATGTAGATCGTTTATGTATGTTGAGCTGCTGTCACTCAATGATGCGAGCACGTGTTAATTTGCAATCACGGCCGACAGCGAAAAAGTGACGATAATTTACCCCCATCGTAAAAACTGATCTGATCTTGATGTGCGTATAAACAAACAGTAAAATCCTTGATGCGGCGTGTAACGGTTTTAAAAAAAGAAATTGCTTTTTTTCCAATTCAAATTTGGTCAAGTCAGAAAGTTATATATCTTTGTCGGACGGAGAAAGAAACGAGTTTACAATGGCGACTCTCGCCCAATCCTGTGCTCACAAGGTGCCTAAACTTGTTAAACGTGTGCGAGTCTGACAATAAAGGTCCACTCTCCATGACCATTCGCCATTTCTTATTATCAATGTGAATATTGGATTGATTTTTCACATCTAGGGACACATTTTTTAAATATTAGAAACTTAAATTTCCGCACCGATTGAATAAATTATTTCTCATGAAATTTCCACACTGAAAATAGTTTAAATTTGTTCAAAAATCTTCAAAAGATCTTGTGAACAAGACTAAAAAAGTCTCGCTCATGAATCCGAATAATAAAATTTGCAAAGATCAATTGTATTATCTAGTTTTCGGTAGAAATTTAAATAAAAATAGGGCTAAATATTATAACCGCTCGTCATAAAACTAGAAAAATTGATAAAGATTTAATAATAATCATGATTTTTTTAACAAGAATTCAATACAAATTATTTGTCTATTAAATCAAATAAAAAAAATACTAGCATCGCTGCCAAATTTTGAATTTAAATTCAGTATTGAAGATTCAAATTTTTTAAGAAATAAAATTTAACTTTTAATTTGTATTTCGCATTACATTGATTTTAAAGATTCTTGTAAATGCAAAATGCAATAGGCGGAGTCCATCACGATGTTCCGTCGTGTCTACTTGCACTGTTCAACTTAATGACCAATGCAAACGTATTATAATTTCATTACCAGGGCAATTTGCGACCGACTGCGATTGCTTCGGTCATCGAAGTGTGTGCTCGACATTAATTTCCACAGCCCCGAGAGGCCTTCATTATGCGTGTACGTGCTTGTATCAAACTCTTGTGGTAATTACATTCGCACAGATGTGTGCATATAAATGCAGTTACGTCTGCGTATTCTTGCAATTATCCCGCATCCGCGAGACGTTTTAAAAAGCTGCACAAAGTGTATCAATTGGCCGGATTGATTTTCGCTTCCCTCGAGGTGAAGCTGAATTGGCCAATTATTGGTCATTTACCTCGCTGTACATCGGAATTTTTCGCACAAATACTTTAATATACTGAGACTGATATAAAAAAAGATTTAGAATGTTTCGCAGCTGATTTTAATCCGGATGGTCCAGTTATTTTTTTTTTTCGAAGGTTGTATTCATTTTTTTTCCAGACCTGTAGTGACACCCATGCGCCTTTCAAGGAGTTCTCCCACTTTTTATATACGTATATTAAAAGTAAAAATTCGCAATACATATTTTTACAGTTGGAAGTCTCCTTATTCGCAGGGGGTTCATTATTTGGGTTGGAGCTGCGGGAACGATAACCACTTTTTTATGTAGCATGCAAAGTGTACCAACCACTTAATTTTTTGGCACACGATCGCTCCTTATCGCCTCTGGAGTGATGACGAATTAGTTTTGAAAGCAGTTTTGAAAAGAGGCTTCCTCTCAATTTATTGAACATTGAGTAGGATGTGGTTTCAGCCTTAATTACTTTCAACTCATTTTCTTTTTTGGCGAAATATTTTAAGAGAGTTCTCAAGCGAATTTAAATGCGTAAACATGCAATTTCCTTTTCAAAACTTGTTAAGCCGAAGTCAGATTTTCAGACGGAAAAGATCAATCTGAGTCCTTTAAAATTGCATGGGAAGTAGCGTTTTAATGGTTTTAATCTTGAATCGGTCATTCAAGTCTCCAGACGTGTCTCGGCAGAAATCCTTTTGTCCACTTTCGGGCGCCGGCTTTCGTTTATGCTGAGAACCGAATTTTGTGTAGGTGAAAAAAAAAATAGCCGTTAAATCAGGTTTCAGTTTTGGAGAAAATAAGAGACTTCGGACGTCATAGGACAGGTTTTTTAGGTATTGGTCGTATGGAAGGCCACCGAGAAAAAGAAGTTTCGTCATAGAAACGACTGTTGATTTGCAAAATATCTCGCAAACTTGCTTATTAAAAGTCGGCGGTGTGTCTACAAATGCCGCGTTCTACCTTTTAAGGTGTCATCCTTGTTATATGT